TAGATAGTTTTTTTCTTCTTATATGATTGAAAATAAACAGATAGTACAAGTTCTGTATTAAATACAATACAAATACAATGTTTTGACAATAAATCGATGGATTACCTTATTTTCTTGTAATCGACACCATAGTGCAATGAGAAAAACATCCAAACGGAAACTGGGCGCCTTCCGATCCCGTGTGCCGACCGCAGGACATTGGTCAAGCAGCTCAGCTGTTAAGAGTTTATATCAACTACTCGGTCTGTGCCACAGCAATCACCCTCTGGTCGAATGCTGGAGTCCCTAACCGCCATATCATGGCGATTTCAGGCCGTAGGAATGAGCAGAGCTCGGCTCACCACAACACAAGTCCTTCGACCGCTCAGCCTTTGCAATGCAGCGAAGTCCTTTCCAGCCATATTCAAGGTCCACGGCTTACGTTTCGGTTCAGCAATCAACAGTCTGCTACAGTTATAGAAAACCAGTATTTGAGGCCAGTGTCGTGTAATTTCGACTCCATTCTAAGAAACTGCACGATTCAGAATGTGCTACTCGTTGTCTCTTCGGCGAGCCCTTCAAAATGACTTGTAAAACCCCAGACTTTTTAAAGGCTGCATCATTTTGAATGAATAAACTTTAAAGGAACTTTTCCTTGACGTCTGAGTCAAATATTGAGCTGGACGGCTTATGTGTGCTATTTTGATACGCTTATCTCGTCACTCGCAAATGTAAGCGTGTAAAATAAATGTTTTGAAAAAACAAGTCGTTCTATTTTTAGTCTGCACCCGCACGGTTAAGAAAATTTTCAATTCAATCAATAAAGAAAAAGCGACTTTTCAGCGTGAAAAGTGACTCGCTATGTTAGAAAAACAATGGACAGTATCAAGCGTGCGTTTATCCAACTCGGATGCACGTGGATAGTTGGGAGAGCCCGAAGGTAGCCTAAAAGATGCTATTGGCTGCGCCTCGAACATCTCTTATGCTACCTTCGTGCTCTCTCTACTATCCACGTGCATCCCGAGTTGGATGAACGCACGCTTGACACTGTCCATTCCTTAACTCTAAAATAATTATTCACCCCAGTGCTGGTAAAGAGGTGGTATTTATCTCGCCACTTCGCAGCACGGTAAATATCCATCACTATTCACTACTACTTCGGTGAATAATTGTTAACTAACCTCTACTGAAAGTGGCCAACTATTGTATTGGCTTTGTGGAATACCTAAATTATCGACACGTGTGGGTTTGCTGTTTGTTAACGCTATTGATGCTTGTCTTGTCGTGTAATGAATTTGCAGAGTAATAGACTAACCCTGTGAAGCAAGACAAGATCAACTGTTGACATTCTCTTGTGTGAGGTTGAACCTTTACTAATAATTCACAACAATACTCTCTAATGATCAACTTTACATCTTTTTTGGTGATTTTAACTATTTTCCAATCAATTGTACCCTATTTTCGTCGTTGTAGATGAAAGCAAGCTAATCACCCATTGAACTTCATGGTTCAGTTCAAACACCTTTTTTTGGATATGACATCCTTTTACCACCTCGGCGCTAATTGCTTCCTTTAAAATCACTTACACTCTACACTATTTAATAGAATGGTAATAGCCCCTCAAAAAGGAACTATTGATTCCACAATTAAACATATGGAAGTGTAAGCTACAAATCTTTTGAATCTTGCGTGTTTTTTTCCAATTATTGCTTAGCCTTTTTCCATTCATTCAAGTATGCTCAAACTACGCGGTGTCGACAAAGAGACTCCGAGGCAAAACTTTCCTTTATCATATCGGTGAACCCAAGTCACTCATAATGAAAACTAACACTTTTCATAATTACAGCTTTTTCACAAATCTAATACACTACACCTTGGATTGGTCGATCGCCCTTTTAAAGGATACTTTTCGGCTCCAAAAACCATTTTATTCTCACTTCAAACTTGCACTACATATCCCTTAACATACCCCGGGTGTTACTTTTTTTGGAGAAACCCGAGTGATGTTTACAAAGTCAGTTGTAGATCAATTTCTTTTTAATAAAGCTCCATATGACCATATATGTTCATAACCAGTGGAAAATTTTCTATCAATTTATTTAACTTATTATGGGATACACATCATATGATGACGTCACGACATGCATAACTAGCGTAATTATTGGAAGTTTCAAGAAGGACTAATTGAAAGAATCCTGTAGCAAATAAATTTCAGAACTATTGCTTTTTCTAAAAAAAACCATGACCTTCACACACTGAAGCCTGTTAGACCTCACAGTGCCACAAGCCAGAGTTTTCCTTCCCTCTAATCCTCAAATAACCCAACAGAAGTGTAATGATTATCCATAAACACATAGTAGTCTTTGTCAAGGAAAGGTTCCATCAATGACATAACAGCCATTTTTCCAAGATCTTTCTGAACTACATTGGTTTCCTTTCCAGTGTATATCTTGCTCCCTAGAACATAGCCACTAGTTGATCCAGCCAATGTAAATGCCTTGATTCCAAACCTGCCTGGTTTAATGGGGATGAATTGCCTAAAATGAACTTTCCCTTTGAATTTTATCAAGGTCTCATCGACAGCAAGTTGCCTCTCAGGACTATAAACTGACCTAAACCTTGGTATAATCAGATCCAGCAGAGGCTGAATTTTGTACAACTTGTTAAAATCTGGTGAATCAGGCCTGGGAACCAGGGAATTATCAGCAAAGTGAAGATAGCGTAGAATTTGAAGAAATCTTGTTCTTGTCATAGTGGCATCAAAGAATGGGGTGGACAGCATGGGGTCAGCACTCCAGTAGGAAGGGATATTTGACCTGTTAATAATTCCCATACACAAATAAATGGCAACCCAACCTTTCATTTCTGCCACAGACACTGGATACCACACAGACTTTTCTGCAGCTCCTCGTTTCTGATTTGCATACAGATTAGTCTGAGCAACTAACAACTCCCATACCTGAGCAGTGAAGAACAGATCAAAAAACCCTTTGCTTGATGTCAAAGATCTAATGTTTACATTTGCTGCCAATCCCACGAGTTCACGGAAATCAATATCATCCCTTCTCGTTATTTCTTCGCTCTATGCCGATACTTCTTCTTCCTCCCCTGGGTCTTCATCTTGTTCACTTTTTTTTTGTTCACTTTTTTTGCCAAATCATCGGAGTCAATCTCTTCTTCTGACTAGGGATGCTCCAAAACACTGATACAAGCCAAAGGTAAATTGTCTTCGTCGATAAATTCGATTCCCACAACGTTTTCATCGCTTCTAGTCGCACAGAATGCTTCAGGAGATATTTCGCACGCCGCCATTTTTAAAAAACCACAGACAATACACACTCGAAATTTAAATTTCCAAATTCTTTAATACAACTCGCCAAATCGGCCAATTTCTTTCACTGCCTCAAACTATACTTCATGTTAAGTCATTTGAAATGAAACACCAGTGCTCAAGCCCCAATAATTCACCACAATTGCGCGTTAAAATCACGTCGTATATTTCTACGCATATATGCGTAGTTGGTACGTTAAGGGATATACACATTACCCACTAATCGCGCTTTGAGGTACCAATTGGAAGCAATTTAGTACCCTGGTCGAAGACGGTTGAGGTTCTAGTCATGTAAACTACTGCTGGGATAATCATCGTAGAAAAAATATCATTATTTAAGTTAAATTTCTCATTGTTGTTTCAGAAGATCGCTAGGAGATGGAAATAAAAAGGAGTACAACTTTATCAAGTCAAGTATAAGCGGCCAGTAATTTAGTGTTAACAAAACGTAAATTAGCCACCGTAAAGAGTAAAAAAGCTGACGTTTCGAGCGTTAGCCCTTCGTCAGAGCGATTGTTAACACTAAATTACCTGCTATACTCTCCCACCGACGCAGCACCACAGTTTCTTTAGAAACCTACCCCTTTATTTATAAGCGGCCAGGTTGCTAAACAATATTCAAAATATTGGCGCATGTAGTTATAAGATTACTGCATTTGGAGACAATTTGTGAATTTGAAAAGTTTAATGTCAAAAGGTCGCAAAACACATTCAGTGTCATCATTTCATATATAATTCATAATTATGTAGGTAAAAATGTGATGAAGTGATAGCTTGGCTTTTAAAGTGATAGATGCGTAACAACCATCTAGATGCGTAAAAACCACACCTAGCTCACCTCACAGAGCAGGTTCATAAAGAGACATTTTTTCGTGAACAACTGAACGTAATATTCCCACTTAATGAGAGAGTATTTATAAGTGCATGTAGCTGAGAAAAAAAAACGAAACTCGCCACCAGCAATGCATTGATTGGTTAGTTGTTATTCTGAGTCTTTGTCAGGCACTGATGTTTATTCATCAGTGCCTTCCTGTATTTAATTTGATAGATTTACATTACCATGTTGTTGTCTGTTTGCCTCCAGCTTTAACTTTCATTCAAGGGTGATAATAATGTTGATATATAAGGCTATTTGAGGTGGCTGGTCTACAGCAATGTATACATATCAAATGATCTTTTTACGCTTCTTCGCCATTTTTTCGCTCAGAATAAGAGTTTAAAACACATGTAGTATGAGGGCGTTATTTGTTGGCGATCGCCTATTCTAAGAGACGTATTCAGGAAAAACGGGGTAACAAAGAGATACCTCACCGAAGTGGTAATTAGTGCACAGTATAATAGCGGACAAGTTTTTTAGTCTGGCTGCATTTTTATCTCTGTTCTTTGCTAAAACGAAATTTCTATGATGGGAAGATATTGAAAAAAAGTTTATAATTCCTTATGCTTACGCCAGTGGAGAAGTGAAAAATATTTACATAATTTTTCGCCAAATGAATTACTATTGTCAAGGCCTCATTTTGCTCCATGGAAAGTTTAATTGAATAATAGAGTCTGGCAGGAGGCAAGTACCATGATAAAAACCCCATAAATATTGATTAGCTCTATATAAATCCACGTATGAAACACGTTCAGAAACAAACATCTCAAACGGTGTTACTCTGACATGCTTTGATAGTTTTAATGTTCAAAAATGACGCTTAAATCAAGTGCAATCATCGAGGCCACCATTCTCGTTGTTATATGTGTAGCGTCTGTTTTTGTAAATATCATTTTGTTTGTGATACTCTTGAGGAAGAGACCCCTTCGCACCATCTCCAATGGTTTTCTTCTCAATCTCACATTTGCTGATTTACTCGTGTCTCTCTTAAATATGCCTATAACTGTGGTCACCATTATCAACGAAAGTTGGATTTTTGGAGATACTGCCTGCGTTTTCTTCGGATTCATCACGATGCTTTCGTTTGTTTCATCAGTGATGTCCCTGGCTATGATAGCTATCAATAGATATTATTACGTGGTGCAATGGAAAAACTACTCATCTAATTTTACGCCAAGAAAATCCCTCCTGTTCGTGGGAAGCGTGTGGATAACATCTGTGTCATTATCCATTCCACCACTGTTAGGCTGGGGAAAATATGATTTTATTTCTGGGAAATCTTTCTGTTTCGTATTCTGGCCATCTGATGTTTACTATATGTATTTTATGCTTATTATATGCTTCTTCGGCCCTCTAACTGTTATATGTATAACATATATCAAAATTCTAAAATTTACCAGGCGAGCTAAGCAGCAGATGCATCGACATAGGGAAAACAACGTGATCGAGGATGCGAGTCAAAAAATGGAGGAAAACAGAAGACGTATAGGAACTTCTCAAGAGGAAGTCAAAATCACCAATACTTTAGTGATCGTTGTTGCATGTTTCGTCGGTTGTTGGGCGCCTTTTGCTGTCACCATGTTTATAGATGTCTACTTACCATCATCACGCATCCCAAGATCAATTGATATCAGCACACTGTTGCTTGGTTATGCCAACAGCATGTGCAACCCTGTTGTGTATGGGATAAGGAATCAAACGTTTCGAAGGGAACTTATTCAAGTCTTTACGATCTGCCGAAGACCTCAAAGAGTTTCTGTAGGGAACGTACCTTACCCATCTAAAAGGAGAGCTTCATCCAAGATCAGAACTGCAAAGAAAATGGGAGCGTCTGAATTACCACACCTCGCCTCATCATCCAAAGAGACTGCTTCATCTTCTCTTTCTTAACATTTGAATTTCTCGTCGAAGGAAGGACTCAAGGAGGAAAGAAGCAGATAAATTTTACCCATCCTAAATGGAAAGCCTGAATTGCTTAGGGTTAGCAGTAAACAATGTTTCATTTTAAAGGGGGTAAGTTTCTAAAGAATCTGTGGTGCTGCGTCGGTAAAGGAGCCTCATGACGAGCTTTGCCCTCCAAAAAACTTTATGCAAATTAGGCTGCGGCGGATCTGAGATCCGTCTGGCAATTATTGATTGTAATAAAAGAACTGAGTTCGCACCCACAGTACGATCGAGGAGATAATGTAAATAGACCACCGTGAAGTGTTTAAAAGCTGACGTTTCGAGCGTTAGCCCTTCTTCAGAGCGAAAGGGCTCTGACTTCTTTTAAATTTTAGTCAAGTAGTTTTATGAAAATGAGACCTAATTCAGTCGCAAAAATATTTCTTTTGAATCGGAGTAATTTAAAAAAATCATTAACTAATTAAAGTTATTCAATATAATAATTCCGAGGAGCACCTGCTCAGCAAGCATGAGATAATGGAGTCTGCCATGTTTCGTTTACGTAGTGAAAAAGAATTATCGAACATTGACTGATGGAGAACTTATCTGCGCTTTTCTAGAACTATGGGTTCGCCATCCATTTTATTTCTTATTTTTCTTCCAAAAATTTTGAATCGGTGTGTTTTGTAAGATTATTCATTTTCCGATAGAAACCTACATGATGTAAGACAAAGCCGGAACATATATTTTCGAATTAATAGAGTTCGATCGTTTGGATACAAAGTCGTTTCGATACAAGTTGATTCGATACAAACTGAAGTGGATTCGATACATCGAAAAGGTAGATTCATAGAAAGTCTAATTACTCCTTCACTAGTTTCGAAATGACTGGAGTTGGTAGAAACGACTCCCTACGTGTATCGAATTGACTTAGCAATATATTGAATGGACTTCAGGGTGTATTGAATCGACTTTTATCGAAACGACACATAAGTCACATGATAATTGGATTTACATAAGACATGAATTTATATAAGATATGGTTTTACAGCTGAAAACTGCAATGCTGAGCCTGAAACGATTATGATATTCACCAAGTCTTTTTAGAAAGTCTATACTTGGTAGGCGGAAATTACTCGCAAAAACGTCGGAAACAATTGGCCCAGTTGAAGTGTTTGAATTTCACATAAATCCAATTATCATGTGACGTATGTGTATTCAAAGGGGATCGTTAATCTTTTATAAACGACTCATAAGATATGGTTTTGCATCTGGAGACTGCAAAGCTAGACCTGAAACGATTATATTATTCACCAATTATTTTTAGAAAGTCTTTATTTGGTGGGCGGAAACTTTGCTCGGTATCATAATCGTGAATCAACACACTGAGTGTGCATTCTGACATATTTCAATCATTCACCGCCCGAAGACACCGCCACGCCAATATTTAACTGCCTTAATGGAAGATGCTGAAATATCCTATTGTGAGAGATGGCTATTCTACCTTACAAAACCATTCGAAAATTTTACTTTTTACTGGATAACAGGTTAAACGATACAGAAGGAACAATGTAATGAATTACGAATCAAATTTAAGAATCAACCTGAGCAAACCATCATTAATTTTATTTGGCGCTCATTTTCATATTGCCTTCATTTACGTCAGCTGGCGACTTGCATGAAGAAGATTTATCTTTAAACACTAACGCTTTGAGTTTAATGAACGAAAAATGACTCAAAAGGTGAGCACGATCATCGAGGCCATAGTTCTCAGTTTTATCTGTGGAGTTTCCTCTTTAGGAAATGCTACTTTATTTTTTGTGTTCACTCGAAAGAAGCATCTTCGCACCATCTCCAATGGTTTTCTTCTCAATCTCGCATTTGCTGATTTACTCGTGTCCATGTTAAACATGCCTATAACTGTGGTCACTATCATCAAAGAACGTTGGATTTTTGGAAATACTGCCTGCGTTTTCTTTGGATTCATCACGATGCTTTCGTTTGTTTCATCAGTGATGTCGCTTGCTATGATAGCCATTAACAGATACTATTACGTAGTGCAGTGGAAGACATACTCCATCACCTTCACAACGAAGAAGTCGGCTTTGTTTGCCGCAGTCGTGTGGTTAATATCTGTGTTGTTATCCGTCCCACCGTTGTTTGGCTGGGCGGAATATCGTTATATTCCCGGGAAATCTTACTGCTTCGTTTTCTGGCCTTCTAATGTTTTTTACATGTATTTCATGATGGTCATATGTTTTTGTGGTCCACTTATCGCGATGTCTCTCTCTTACTATAATATCTTAAAGTTTACGAGGGAGGCTGCGCGGCGGGTAAATCAACAAAGAGGTAACATTCGTAAAAACGAAGAATTAGGCACGGAAAGAGAACATGCGGCCGTATGCATTTGGCGTCGTGAAAGAAATAAAACGGTCTTCAAGATGTCGCAAGATGAAATTAAGCTCACCAATACTTTATTAATTGTTGTTGCCTGTTTCATGGCTTGTTGGGCACCATTTGTAATGACCATGTTTTTGGACGTTTACTATTTAAACCCACTTCCAAGAGCGGTAGACGTGGGTACACTGTTGTTAGGTTACGCGAACAGTATGTGCAACCCAATGGTGTATGGAATAAGGAATCCAGTTTTTAGGAGAGAACTGGCGAGCTTGTTTTCGTCATGTACTACAAATCGAACAGTTCATGTAAGTCAACCAGTAGTTGCTTTTGCTGAGAGCAGGAAGTAACACTAACACTAAGAATTAAATAATTACATAGAATTATTCAAATATAATTAGTGAAAGCAGGACATTCGGAATCACTGCGAATATCAACCAAAAAAATTCAGTATAGTGACTCCTCAAATTTTCCTCTAAAAGCAAACATATCAACATAGTTCGACGTGAAGAGGCAGCCTTGAAGTGAAGCTGTGATATTCATATGGCTATGAAATCACATTTAATCACCATTGAAACAAAGAAAGCATTCCCAGCAGGTCACGAAAAACTTCAAAACAGTACACCAAAAGTGATAAAATGTAGAGTGTGTGTATTTGTGTTGAATATATTAAAAAAAAAATAAAGAAAAGAAAAAATGTCATTAACTTGACAGGATTTCTTGTTTGAAATTGATTATTAGGTAAATAAAGCAAGGCTTCTTTCAATCCTTGCTCAAATTTGCATACATCAGGATTTCTCCATTACACCTCGGTTCACAACAAAATTGATGATGGCCCAAATCAAAGGATAATTTTTTTTAACGATTTTAAAATTTTGTTCTTGCAATTATTTTAGAGCCATCTGTTGTTTGGCTAAAGACATGCTTCAATTGTTTTTCGCATTAAATGCTCTGTTGATACCATTTAGCTGTCGTGGGTGAGCACTGAGTATCGTATTTGTTTTGGCTTCACAAAATGAGCATATGCTCACTTCGAATTCGAGAAAACACATATAATTTTAAATCTTTTAAGTCACTTCGAATTTGAAATACGTGACACTAACCAAGAGCCACTTAACGAAATCATGAGGGAAAAAAAGAGACTTTTATTTTTCAGTATTGCGCAATACAAATCTTAAATTCGGTAAAACCGATGTAAATTTAATCTCTCTTATGTTAGACCATGTCTCTCTATTTTGAAGTGACATGATACGATCAAGGAGCCCACTAAACGCCAACTGGATTGTAACCAAAAAATAACAGGTGGATGTAATTTGTTTCTTTTTTTGCGCAAAAATGGCCAAAATTTTGGGTTATTCATTCGCGAAAGTATCACCTTTTGAGCTGCTTTGTATCAGCAGCAAAAATGTTTGACTGAGTTTCCTTCTCAGAGGATTAAGTAAATGGCATCTCTTCCCATCTTTATGTCTCAGATTACATTCCAGATAAACGTGGGCCTACATGGTCTTTTTTTTCCTGTGTCAGAGGCTTTTCATGTTATGGTGAAATAATCCGTTAAAGGGCATGTAAACCCAAAAATGTGATTTATTTGTATTTAACATGAAAATGCAATAAAGTGAGGGTACAATCTAAAGGAATGCAACGGAATTTTTTTTAACTTGAGCTTCTGAAAGTGTTTTATATAAAATTATCAAAGGTGCGAGTGTAGAACTTGTCAACCAATGCCGACAACTCATGAAAGTGTTTGTTGTACGGAAATCGGGCAATTGTGGCAAAATGGCCTGAAACCCAGATAAGTTGTATCACTGAGCATCCAGGTTTTCAGTCAATTTGCCTCGATTTCTGGGTGCTGGAGACGGCCAAGTACGCGTACAGGCAGCAGCAAAGCACAGATAATCACACCGGAAACGACTAAGCTAAATATTTTCTGTTTCATCTGTTTTGTTACATTTTGAGATCGATTTACTTGAGTTGTTTCTGCCATTGATTTAATAATACAGTACTAGAGCTAGCTGTTTTCGCTTCTTTCCTGACAGGAAATTTCGCTAAATTGCCTACAGATAGCTTGTTCGTTGGTGTTGGGGATATCTCGGCAAACACTTTAGGGTCGCTGTGCTATCTTGTGCGGTAAACAATATCCTTCATCTCAGAAGCATTTCCATCGATAAACAAGTTGTATCATGTACATTTCCTTGTGTGGCCTTCATAATTATCCAACCCTGTTTGTGTTTGCTTCGATTTGAAATATTGAAAAGATAGTTTTGCAAGCTGAAATCAGGATCTTTTAAGTTGTACTCAAAATGATGAATATTGTCCTACTGACCTTTGAATGTATTTTCACTGCTGTGAAAACCGTGACACAAATTCTTCTGCTGTTTCTCTGCAGGGTTTCTCAAAGGAAGCACCAAGTGGGGCTGGCTTGGATTTTCTTATAGAACATAAGGGTTGATTATGGGATCCTGTATAGAATTCTTTGTATCGAACCGACAAAATTCCAGATCACGTTATTACACACTGATATCAACGAATTCTCTTTCTTTGATACGTGTTTCGAATTCAGGCAAAGGTTCAGACATGTCAGTGTCTTTTACGGCTCAGCGCTGGCTCCCGAACAACTGGCTCCCCATAATATTTCATTAGATGAGAGAAAAAGATGTTTTAGAGAACCAATAAAGCTATTGTTGTTTAATTAACGAAACGTTTTCATGTAAATCGATTTTGTACGTTCTCTGTTGACCTCTAACTTTTGAAGAGCTCAACTTCTTTCTCAGTTCGGTCGGCCACTTCCGAATCCTCGTCGTCTGCCGACTGTATGGGTCGTTTTTATACTTCCGAATAATTTGCTTCTGGTGAGGCCTGAATCGTCGGTACAGCACCAGGAAGAAAAATGACTGCTACAAACAACAGAACGTTCGAACGGCTCTACGAAATTGGCTATTTTCACTTGAACAAATTTCACAAATTGTCGCTTCAAATTTGCGTCATTTGGAAATATTTGCATTGTATGCCCAGTTTTGTTTGAATCAGTACAAAACTGGACGACACAACGCTTCACCATTACGAAAAAAAAAAATTGAATATATTGATATAACAACAAACCTATGTGAAAAGAAAATCATTTGTTGGTTTGACCGAATAACAACAAACCATTGAGTCAATCAGCAGGGACCGAATTTTTTTTTTTTTTTTTTTTTTTACGTTAGTGTTCAGCTGCTGGGATTGGGTATGTTATCAAATCAGCGATATTTTGGGGGAGTCAATTTGTTGGTGACCTGCCTGGCTAGCTCTGATTTTTCTGCCGGTTTTAGTCTCACTCTTTATCATTTGAATGCACGCCTAGTTGTGCAATTGGCTCTGTGATTCATAAAGACACGTTTTCTATCTTCGCATCAGCTACTGGCTGACTATTGTTTTCTTTTACTTTTTTTTCAAGAATTTTTATTATTTTTCGGATGATTCGCTTTAGCCTGTAGTAACAGCAAACGAGCAAAACCGCTGGCGCCTGAGGCGGCGAGGGTCTTGCACCGAAAATAAGGAAGAGAGCCTGGAAGAATTGTTCTATGAAGCTGGTGTATCCGAATGAACTTTCAAAACAAATCCCGCAAGTCTTCCTTCTGTACCCAAAAACCAACGCTATTGAGACATAGTTGCTGGTAGTCACACTTTAATTTGTTAAACTATTTCCTTGTGATTGAGAGTACATGTCAGGAGAACATCTTGAAACAAAAAAAAAAAACTATAGAGCTCTTTTATAAACTATAGAGCTCCTCAAACGTCATTAGCAACCGTATTGCAAGGTCTAAGATGTTATTGTAAGCTATAGAAAAATTGTCATTGAAATGTGGTCTCAAAAAAATCTTTAAGACCTTATGTAATCAAATGTCGGCTTCGTTCATTTGAAAAAAAGGTTAAATTTTAATCATGATCAGTGCCGTACTACCTACAGAAGTATTCTGTGTTATCATGTTATCATTACGAATCAATATAATTCATTTTTACGATCGAGGCAATATACATTTTTCCTTGTTCCGTAATGAGATATACCCAAGATGATCCGACTTCCTGGTGATGTGATGTCTTTCTCGTAATCTGAGCAGCTCATCAGATCTGTACTTCGGTGGTTTCAATTTGATCTCTTTTCCCCTTAGAAGTGCAGCTCATATCTAAGCACACTTGCAGGGAACAATGGTAATCGTCCTTAGCACATGACGAAGGACAGTCATCGATAAAGCGACAGTTCCTGGCATGGTTCGCACATGCAACACGGCATAGTTGATAACCAGAAGGGATTCTATTAGAGGATGAAAGGGTTATGATCCCGAATAAAAAAATTGTAGAAAAGATGAAAGATGGTTGCATCTGAGGAAAGAATAATAAGAAAAGAAAGTAAAGATATTACGTGACTGAGGCTGATAATTCAGATGTTGTTAGGTTATAATATTTTCGGTCTGTTTCAATCAGGCTCTCAGTTTGGGAATCCGTTTTTACAGTTATTATTACTATCATTGTAAAAATAATTACTATTATAATATTTTTTCTTATAATTATTATGTATTCAATTTATTCTGTTATGGGGGGTGGGAATGGTTGGGGAACTATTTGAACACTTCATTCACCATCTTCCATCTTTGACGGTTGAATTAATTATTCCTAGAACAACCTTAATTTACTCTTACAATCAACGGTCGGAAAATAAGGCTAACTGCTTTTCCTTACATGTACGTTCGTGACGATCATTTCAAAGTCAAATTTCCGCGAGCTTTTGGATCTTTTCAAATCCATATTTATTGTAGAGACAAATATTAATTAATCAAACTTTTTCGAATTCTCTCATGAACTGATCAGGCAGGTTGCTATCTCCTTTATCTCAGCTCCAGTATAGAATATACAAAAAAAATGGCTTTTAAGGTTCATTTCTCATTGTACTTACGAAAAATTCTGTCAAATAAGGGAACATTATAACAGAAAAAAAATAATTAAGGTCATAAAATGACAAAAGAGAGATAAACCAATAACGGATCAAATTAGAGCTGGCCATGGAGTTGTAAAATAAACTTGAATAATACGCCTGTTTAATCCTATGGTCTCTTAGTGACTGCTTTAACTTTGAAATCAAATGAATTATCAGATAAACAAAGAAGAAGCTCATCTAAATATTCAATTTATTACTTCGTAGGCTGAAGCCTTGAAAAGGTCGCCATGCCCAATCAGTCATTACCTCTAGTCATCGAAAAATGGTCGAATAACAACGAAAAATTTTTTAACAGTTTTTATGCTCAATATTGAA